TGTATATATATACATATTTGTATGGAAATAATACACGTCATATTCTCCTAAAGCATGCGTTTTTTAACTATTAAATTCTTCAATTTTTCTAATTTCTAATGTTGAAATATTCTAAATCCAGTTGAGATTGTGTACTAATTTTCAGCCTGAAGTGTTACTTTTTATAGTTTGACCAGTCAAAGGACACATCTACTGTTTCATGGAGTAGTTGAATTACGTCATTCTTGACTTCATGCTTAGGGGAATGCAGTTGTCACATGGAGCAGAGATATTTCTAAATGTGGATGCCTTTATTCTGATTGGTTGGTTACAGAGAAATTAAGAATTGTATATGTACTTTTTGCACCATTTTGGGGAAGATAAGATTGGACCTTAAAATAATTAACGTGTGCAGTAGAAATTCTGTCTTTGTGCTATTACCAGTTCCTCTGCTGACTGGGTGAGCTATAGTTTAAATTAACGTGAACCCATTAACTTGTTTCCTGCCACCCAGATGATCTCCAGCACACATGACAGTTCTTTTTCATATGTTTATTTTATTTATATATTTATCCCAGAAAATAAAGATTTTATTTTTATTCTGATTTCAACACCATGTCTTGTCTCTTTTATTCCACCTCTAACTAACATTTCTTTTCGCACATCTAATGATCTTCCTTTTGCAGAAATCCTGTAACTGTCTGCAAGTGTAACCTTGAATTGCTACACACTCATGAACTATATAGCTCTTTTTTGTGATGTCAGAATGATGTACTCTCTTCATACATTACTGATGAATGATGTAATACATTTTGTGATGTCAGAATGATATAATGTCTTCATACGTTACTGATGAATGACAACACTTTTTATGATGTTATGTTATTTCTAAGGACTTCTCTCTTATGTATAGGTTACTTGCCACCTCCAGTACTGGGATTCTATGAAACAGTCATTCTTTATGTACAGGGAGTTTGAACTTTCTGAATCTGCTCATTGTTCCCTCGATCTACCTCCTGTTACCATGGAAACAGGACACTTAGTTGTGGTTTCAGAGTTGTGGAGAGTTGTTGTCCATAGTCCAGATGCAGAGTAAGATTGGAGCTAATGAATTATTTATTTTAAAGTGCTATAAACTTAATGTTTACTCATGAGAGAAAAAAAAAATAAGTAATCAAAATGCTAATATGTTTTGTCAAGTTCTGAGCTTGTATTTATGAATATTCTGCTCTGAATGTGTAATATTTCAGTTGCTCCGTGCTCCTCTAGTGCTTTTATACCACAATAAAATCAGTTTTTGTGATATTTTGATTTTTTCAAAAAAATTTATTTTCAAGAATGGAGAACATTCCAGATGTCTGTAGCAAGCCATCTGCTATGATTTATGTTACAATATTCACAAGGATCAGTCAGACATAAGTTAATTTTGGCTGTAAATGGATGGATATGAAAACTCTTTGCTCATTACTATTAAGCTAATATGAATGGTGAATTTGACAGCTCAGTATACATGTTCAGTACTGTTAACCCTCTTGCTAGGGGATTGATGGATTCTACCAACCTTGTGACCTTAAAGTAACCCTCAGAGTTTCCATATTATAACTTTTAAAATGCTATTTTTATCTTGGCAAGCTCTCAATAAACATTAGAAGTCTTTTGTACACCAAAAATCTGTTTTTTTAATTAAGTATTTGTACTGAAAATTTGTCCATGAATGTATGGTGTCAAAATGTTGACTACTCAGAGTGCATGGTGATTTTAATGTTAAGATTAAGAGTGGTTTTCTTCATTTAAAAATTTTCGAATATCATTTGTGTGACCTTTGAAACCTTCTAAATATATATATAAAACGTTTTTTTTTCAGTTAAACTTTATAGTTCATCTGTTATTTCTCTACCCTAACTCTATATGGACTCAGTTAATTTGACCGACCTCATAACCACCATAGAAAAAAAAAAGTGAAATGAATCCAAATCACTTTTTTCTATTCTTTCTATAATGACTGCAAATTATAACAGCAAACTACATTTGTTTATTGTAAATAACTTAAGGCTCATAGCAGTTTATATCGGTTTATTCTTAATTTTATTGCCCTTTGAACTGTGTCTGACTAATAATCCTGCCACACAAGTTATAAATCACTCAGCGAATGCGTAGTTCAAGTTACCATATTAAATTATGTAACACACGAGCTGCTTGTGAACTATTTTTATATTTCATTTACATTCATAATAATAAATAAAGAAACATATCAAAAATGAAATATAATGCTTATCAGTGTCCTCTTGTTTATTTTACTGACAATGAAATGTAAGCCTACTTTTTTATACTAGTAGTACTAATAAACTAAATAATTTTTATTTACTTAAATAATGCACCTAAGAACATAGGATAATAAAATACACAAAGTAAACAATGTCCAATAACTATCACAGTTTATCTACCTTTCTAACTATGGCATAAGAACCTTTAAAAATTTAGCTAAGCTTGTCATTTGATACATTAAAACTTTGGCTTTCTATTGGTTTAAGTAATATAGTATAAAGTATTAGCAATTTATGAAAGAGAGGATGAGACGAGGGCGTGGCAAGTGAATTTTCTAACTTACAATTCTGTAAACAAATAAGATTAGAAACTATAAAAATTATGCTTTGCCTGAATAATAAGTATATTATAATGAGTAACTTACATTCAGTTTAGTACATCTAGGAAGGTTGGTAAATAAATTAGAGAAGACCTCAAAAGCAAATGTCACAATTCTGATACCAGAAAATATTGAAGGTTTGTGAAATATTCCCTTATAAAATTAAGAACTTAAAACTTGTATAATATTAATATTTGATTTATTAACTATGTTTTGATGCCAAGTTTATTCATATACAATGATAATAAAGTGGTTTAATCAAATTTTGAATGGTGAGAGGGTTAAGTTAATCTGTATGGTGAATATTTTTTAGCCCACAATTAACAGTGTCTCCACTTGCTCTCGCTGCCTGCATGAGAGTCGATTCCTGTTTCTTACCAGTACTGGTCTCGTACTTCCAGGCATGTATGAAGTTTGATCTCATACAGGTCACCCTCTTTAGTCACTTTGCAGGGGCAGGTAGGAGATGTTTTTTATTCAGAACAAATCCTTAGTTCTCTCTGTCTTTAACTCTATTAAACTTAGTAAATATTTACGGATATATTACTGTTAGAACTTCTGGAATAATGTGATAAAACTGTTTTTTCAGTCTGTGTTTCAAAAGCATTCTATCCTATATGTGTTATTGGATACAGTTGTGACATTGCTACAAGACATGGCCTAATGATTAAGGTGCCAGCCTATAAATCTGAGGCTTTCTATTGCTACAAAATCAGTCTCTACCTTTTGGGACCGTGGGTTTGTTATGCAGTAAACAGTCAAATTCAATTAGAGAAGTACAAGAATTAGCAGTGAGTGATTTTAACTAGCTGCCTTCCCTTCTCTGTCTATCAGTTTAAGATTATAGCAGATAGCTCTTGTGTACCTTTACACAAATCTCTGAAGTCCAGTTTTCTGGTCTTGTTCCTAATACAGCATGTATACACATTAGTTGTTTTCTGTACACTATCATCATTACATTCTTGATCATGGGATTGTTTCTCACCCTTAATTAGGTATATGATATTACACATTGATATAAGTAATGTTTCTTTTACTATTGTACTTAAAGATAATTTAGGCTAATATGTTCAGTTTTAACAGTTTTTAACAGTGAGTCGTATACATTTAATATGTTGAAATATTTTAATTTATGTCTTTAGAATGCCTTTTTTTATTGTATATTTTAACTTTCTACATATGTATACGTCTACAACTTTTCTATGACCAAATAAATAAATTACTATTTTTAGTTCTCACTTCCAGTCTGCATCATTTTTTTCAGGAACCCCAATAAATCTGTTACCATTTTCATTTGATGGAATGTCCCCTGTTGATCAGGAGTTCATGGTTCTGACATTAGATAGTCCAAGCCTTTGTGTTAACCTGTGGCAGGATAGACAGAAGGTTGAGGTGGGTAGATTGACTGAACTTATCATTGCCAGAATAGACAATAAGGAGAGGTAAATATTAAACTAAATGTAAGAAGTGAGAGGTAAGTACTAAACTAAATGTAAGAAGTGAGAGGTAAATATTAAACTAAATGTAAGAAGTGAGAGGTAAATATTAAACTAAATGTAAGAAGTGAGAGGTAAATATTAAACTAAATGTAAGAAGTGAGAGGTAAGTACTAAACTAAATGTAA